AAATCATTCTAATATGCTGATTTATTATTAGAATTATCAACAGTTGTGCAGCCAAATATTTTTAAGTTACGCCTTCTTTCTTTGCGTGAACGTTTGGGCGGCGTTATGCAAATCTTCTCACATCGTGACGTAGACAGTGGGGGTGTGTTAGAACGAGCCGTTTTAGGTAGGTGTGGCTGACTCTTAACTTTTATAAAGAATATCTCTTTGGATTTGAGACTTTAGTCTTTGCAACTTTACAGATCTTCTTTATGCACCAAGAGCTTGTAACACTCCAAAGAGAAAGGAAAAATTGAAATCGCATCATATGACCCCTTTAAGTAACACAAGTGAATTTTTGAATATTATCAAAAGGTAATCAAAAGGTTTAGTTATATCGCCCAGTCCTAGTTTATAGTATTTGCTGTATTAATTGTAATAATATACACATCTTACCATCCAGGGGTGAGGAATCTCTGGAAGGGGCATCTGAGGAGGGGCCGGGAGAGAGGTGTGTATCTCTGTCTTACATGAGGGCTCTGAGAGAGCAAAACACAGATAAAAGACATTCACATCACTGGAAAAAAAAAAAAACTAAATTGATGCAGATTTTAAAGTGACATGAGTTATGATGAAGAGATGTGGTGAAGTGTGAATAGTTCAGCTGAGGTCAAAGGTTAAATGAGTAGCCAAAGGGGGTTTGGACTCACCTCTAGTTGCTAGAACTCTGTGCAGGATGTTTAATATTTGCTGTTTCTTCTCTCTCACTCCAGCAGTTAAATACTCTCTGTCCAACAACTCCAGAAAGACCCGCAACTCTGCCAACAACTCCTCCATCGCTGAAAAAACACATGCAATCAGATGTTCAATAAGCACAATAGGAGCTTCAGAAGACGAACTACCAAGTTTGTTTCAGCAAATCTTCTGCTTTGTTGATTTTCTCATATTGCCACTGTAAAGATGTGCCATGTGCTTTTCTGCACTGAGATGTTGGCTGGCATCTGGAAAAAGCAATGAATTATGGGTATCTGTTGGCTCGGCACCTGAGGAATATCAAAGGCTATCAAATGCGAATTGCAGCCCTGGAAAATCAGAGGTCTATAAAACAGCATTACAACGGTCTCAGGCCCATACAAACACATAGCTGAAGGTTTACATAAGACTGAGGGTTGAAGGGGGGAGGACGGCTGCTGTATGGACAGTTTCTTGACGTAAAACAGAAAATAGAGCTCACTGATTAGAGTGTGCTATGAAATGAAGTGTACATAGCAAATTGAGTGTGTCACTTTATGACTGCTGGTCTAGATTCAGGTTTGGTCTTTTTCAGTTTGGCTATAGTTCATTTGAATGCAGGTATTTGTCCCTCAGGATTGCAGTTCTTCTTAGTGATAAATATCACACAAATTTAAAGTTGGAGTGGTTTGTGTCCGTTCTTGTTGTAAAAGGATACAAAAGACAGTCACTACAAAAGCTTTTTCTTTGCATCATAGTTAAACTGATTGGCTGAGCACTGATTGATTTAGGAAGACATTAGGGATGTCCTTACATAAGGACATCTACTTGAATCAATGGAGTTATTGTTGATCTGCTAGATAATTCAAATCGCATGTTCTCGTGTCCAACTGAATAGACATTTCCCCCTGGATGTGCTTGTGAATTATGGGTATCTGTTGGCTCGGCACCTGAGGAATATCAAAGGCTATCAAATGCGAATTGCAGCCCTGGAAAATCAGAGGTCTATAAAACAGCATTACAACGGTCTCAGGCCCATACAAACACATAGCTGAAGGTTTACATAAGACTGAGGGCTGGAGGGGGGAGGACGGCTGCTGTAGGGACAGTTTCTTGACGTAAAACAGAGAATAGAGCTCACTGATTAGAGTGTGCTATGAAATGAAGTGTACATAGCAAATTGAGTGTGTCACTTTATGACTGCTGGTCTAGATTCAGGTTTGGTCTTTTTCAGTTTGGCTATAGTTCATTTGAATGCAGGTATTTGTCCCTCAGGATTGCAGTTCTTCTTAGTGATAAATATCACACAAATTTAAAGTTGGAGTGGTTTGTGTCCGTTCTTGTTGTAAAAGGATACAAAAGACAGTCACTACAAAAGCTTTTTCTTTGCATCATAGTTAAACTGATTGGCTGAGCACTGATTGATTTAGGAAGACATTAGGGTGCCTTTACATAAGGACATCTAATTTAATCAGTGGAGTCTTGTTGATTTGCTAGATAATTCAAATCACATGTTCTCGTAAGTCGTGTCTAACTGAATAGACATTTCCCCTGTTTGCGCTCGAACTGCTCCTCAGTTATGCTGTCTGTAATCTACACTTCAATCACACTTCAATAGGACAGCACACTGAAATACTCATTAACACACTTTTATAGAGGGTTTTGTCCAGAACTGCTTGTCGCAAAGGTGATATATTATGATCTTATAAATACACATGCATTCTACTGCACACCCTGTTTTAGTAGCGATTTCAAAATCTCAATTTAAATCATAAATTAAGCAAAGATTAAAATGAAAAACATAAATATATCTTGCAGGCTTTTGCAGGAACCGTCTAGCAATCACCAAGCATTATAATTAAAAATGCGAAAAATCTTTTAATAATTCTGGAATCATACATACTGAATATTTTACCTGAAAATAATGTGGTATTCAAATCAGAAAAAAAGTAAAAAAACACTGAAGTATAATAACTGCAGTAAAATGTGACCAATTTTTTTTAAGGAACTTTTCAACTGTTTTGATGGATCTTAGATCTCATATTGCGGTTTATGATGAAAAAGCCAATAAGCTTACCATTTCCAGTTGTTCCTCTATTATTCCCTGTCCAACAGCTTGCACATGTCAGAGTGAATAAAGCTAATGAAGCACTTTCAGTGATGGTGGCCAAACAACATGAAAGGAAATACACTTTAAAAAGCAACCAAGCAAACCAAATCGCTATATTAAAGAGCACCAAGTGCCACACAAAAATGAGGACCACCTTCAAACTATGCTTGGGGGCAAAGTCAGGGGAGAGAGAAAAAGAGAGAAAGGAGAAGGGAAAAACTTTAAACAATCACAACCACCCACGATCACAAATCTCTGACTCTGAGTCTTCTTCATTCACATACTCTCGATTGACTAACCCTAGTGTAAACAAAGCTAAATGATGAAAGATAGCAAGCAATGCGTCCAAACAGCCCATCTTTAAAATAGAGACATGTCTCCAGCCGAGGAATGACAAATTAGGGACATATTAACACATCCCAACCAAAAAAAAACTCAAAAAGGCCTCAAAGTCAGCAAAATTAGATTTTACAGAGAACTTCTTGTCTTGTTTCACAAATACCTGCCAAAACGACCTGAAAAAGGCTGATGCCATGCCAGAAAGGGTTTCAACAAGCAAAGCTGATTTTAATTCAGTGTTGACAGAGAGAAATAATGAATGGTATTCGGTTTGGTGGTTGTCTAGGACCAGTTTGACAAGTTGACCCAGTGAACTTTTAGAATAAACAACACTCACAGTCTCTCCTGAACAAAAATCACATTATTCTACTATTCCGACCCAAATTCAATAACATAGAGGGATGTGGTCTGCAAAAGCAATTGTGATGCTGCCAGCATGCAAGAACTGGTATTATTTGTGTGCTGATGCAGTATGTGTGTACATTTGCGTAGGTGTCTATGTATATGTGGTTATGGTCTACCACCCAGGCTGCGCGGAAAAGCAACAACAACCTTGAAATTCACAGACGGAAATGTGTGTGTGTGTGTGTGTGTGTGTATTTGCGTGCAGATTACAGAGTACCTTTCTCTCCGTGCTGTCATCCTATCTGACTCTTCCGTCAGATCTTAAAGCAGTTCTCTTTAATGAACCGTTCGAATCCATATGCTCACACATGATCTTTGACCTACCATATATATAATCAGGCACTAACCCATGCCAAGTTTCTGTGGAACACCCACCATCCCACATCCTTCACTCACGCTTCTGCATTCTTTTATCTCTCTCACTCCATTTCTATTTCTGCCTGAGCCAAGACGCTATTCATTTTTCTCACTTCTCACTTCAGAAGAGGAAAGATACGACAACTGACAATAAACCTTTGAAAAAAGAAGATAACAAACAACCTCTTTTGCTTTGGTTAAGAAACCTGCCAAGAACATAAACGTGAACCTCTCGCTCGTCTGTCCTCCCTTTCTGAAGGAGGCCGACCTCTCATCCAGTGCATTGCTTCTCTTTCATGTCTGCTGACAGGATCCAGGCGGAGAGCTGGTGATGACTGAGATACAACACAAGCTCTTCATACTCCGATCCGGTCTTACACACCGAACAGCTTGGAGGAGGAACAGATGGATGGATGGATAAAAAGAAAAGCATGCCTTTCTCTCTTATAACACCTTCAGAGTCATATCAAAGTTCTTTAAAAGCAAGTCAGTTTACTCTGCAACCATTGTGGTAACAGTAATTTTCTATTCTAAATAACATCTATCTGCCTAAAATCTCCAAAACAGCTTTTATGTTTCAAAATAAATTTCAAATCAGTAATAAAAATGTGACAATACATAAAAAATAAAACTCAAATTTCACAAATAAATATTATGATTATACTTTGAATATACACGTTTACACATCTTAATGATTATTTCCATCATTAAGAAAGTGGGTGGTGTCAAACAACATGACATTTTACAACCTGATCTACATAAATAAAAATTAAAATTAAAAAAATCTGAAATTGAATGAATTGCATAGTTTTTTTTTTACAAAAAGCTTTCAAACAACTGCGACTGTAAAACAGTACAATAGCAGAACTGTTTATTGTTTCTCATTGTAATGTATTTTTTAATAAATTAATAGATACATACAAAAAAATGAACATTATGTCATTGACTCGCATCTGTGTTTTAGATTAAACAAACTCTATCAATAAGCTGATTGGATCTTTAAGTTAAAGATTGGACAGCCACCATATTTAGAGTTACAATTTCTCTCATTGATTTTTCAATGAGTGGTCCACGTGTTCATATATCTCTCACTGGAACCCAAAATATCAATATAGGTTATATACTGTATAGAATCTCTCAAAGATCTAAGAGGCACTGGGTGCCAGTAACAAAACGTTTGGCAGCTGGGAATAAGGCAGCTACTAGTCTGTGGTTTGTGAAATTAGGCTCCTTTACGGTTTGGCCTCATCATGGTTACCGCACACACTGCCACAGGCCAGGGCACACCAGAGCACCACTCGGCTACACATGCCTGGAAAATAGTAGAAAACTACAGGATAGAAGAAAATATTGAACAGATGCTCCACTGTCCCACTAATGATGGGCTTCAATACCAGCATCTGTGTAGCCACATATATCAAACGCACTGGGATCATCGATAAGAGATTATCTCAGTTGTGTGATTACATTCATCTCTGTGTTTGATTATATGTGTGCACTATTCATATGTGTTCACATGAACATATGAAGAAAATACTGAGGTTTCAATTATGAAAGGATAGTTTAGAATGGTTTTATGTCCATAAATGCATACTTGTGTGTTTATGAGTATGTGTGTGTAATTACAGCGCGCTAACTCCTAAACCACATTGGGCAGAGGGGTGGGAGAGAGGGGTTACAGAAACCTTTAAGAATCATCCTTCTAGAGGGTGGAGAAGACTCCGTGGTGCCTGAGAAACTAAGCAGAGAAGTGTTGCATCCACTTTTTATGTGTGCATTTATGAATGCTCACCAGCATTTGTGTATTATTTGCCTTCCAACAATGACTTCAGTACTTGGGCTGAATTGTAGCATATTTATGAGTTTACCATGTACAGGATGATGATGTATCATCCA